CCACAAGCTGGGGAGAAAGGGAGGTTTTCTGCGGCGGTTTGCAGCCACGCTGAACCCTGCCTGTGGAGATACCTGCTGGGTGCTGGTTTCTGGCCACACTGGGCTTGCAAGTGGTGGGTGACCGCCCTTCGCTTTGGTGGGAGCCAGGGCAATTGTTTCACTGTCCCTTGTCGCCAACTCCTGCCCGATATGATGTGAGGGGCAGGCGCCCCGGCTCAGCCTGCTGCCCTCCCACTGCTCAGCACAGGGGCGCCCGGCTCTCCCTTCGTTTGCAATCCCGATCAAATGCTTTGAACCGGAGAAGACATCAAATGTGGGAATAGTGATGAACGAGGCTTTTCGCAGTACATGCTCGTTCTCCATGTTTCTGAAGCCTGTGCACTCTCGGTGTCAACCACCATGTGTTGCCCCAGCCCCAAGCAGGACCCAGGGCCAGCAGCTTGTCCTGGAGCCGTGTCGCTGGTGATGTGCAGAAGGACTTGCAAACGGCTGCAACCCCGGGTGGAAAAGCACTCCCTGAGCCCTGCGTCCTTGGCAGGGATAGCCGAGGTGGCTGCTGTGCCTGGGGCACGATCCTACTGATGTCAGGACGTGTTTTGGGGGAGATGTGGGCTTTGTTGAGCTGCAGCTGAGGGTGAAGAGTGGAAGCCAGGGGCTTTTCCCTGCTGCATTATTACACACATGGAGTTTTCTGCCATTGTGTCTGTTTATTTCCCCTCCTTTGAAAGAAGGTGATGCTCCCCAGTGTGGGTAAAGTCTGGAAAGGAGGAAGATGAGGAGCTCAGCTGGTGGTTGGAGCGCTGTCTGCTCCCCTTCACTTTGCTGTGTGATTCCAGGCACGTTCTTCACCGCGGTTCCTTCTGCTCATCTGTGGAGCGACTGTAATTCATCCCAGCCTCAGACTTAATTTCATTAATATTTATAGAGCCAATTTGATCCTTGGCTAGGAATCTCCATTAAAATTGAGCCAGGTCATAAGCTGGTATCAATCAGTGTGTTTCAATTAAATGAGGAGGACTGAGGGGCTGAACTCGTGTCTGTTAACCTCTGAAGCTCAATGTCCCCCCTCCTCTGGGGACTGCTTGCAGGGCGGCTCTGTGCTGGTCTGCAACAATTCTTGTTGCTTTTGCATTTTGCTTCAGCCCTGTGCTTGTAGTGCACATCAAGGGGGATGTGAGGGCTCACTTAGGGGTCACGGAGAGAAACTTCCCCATTCCCCCAGGGCTGGTGCTACCAAAATGCTTCTTTTGCTTTAGCCTGGCCTTGGCGTGGGGGATGTTGCAGCTTGTCCTTGGGTTTGCTCACATCCCTGCGCAGCACCCAGCCAGCAGCACCTTTGCCGATGCTTTTCCCAGCACATGGGTCTCGCCCAGCTCTGTGCAGGGACAGTTGGTGATGGGGACATATCCCCCCATCCCTCCACAGCAATATCCAGAGAATCACATGCTGCAAAAGCCATCCCTGGTATTTCCACCTTCCCAAACATCCAAACCCAGCCCAGTGTGCCTGCAGGTTCCCTCCTCCAGCCACTGCCTTCCCCCTGCCCACGAGCTGGGGCTGGGCAGCATCCTCCGGGCAGGAGTCAGCGGCTCTCCCCTGCCCGCTCTCAGCCCAGCACAACTACTTCTCCCTCAGCAAACAGATTTTTCAGATTTTCTTGGCTGCTCCCTGTTTTCCGCTCCAGAGCTGTAACAAGGGCTCCAGCATGTTCTTTCCATTGGGAACCAGCAGTGGAATAAACTGATCCTAATAAATGCCTGACAAATTATTTTTCCAGCAAGCAGATGACCGGCTGGGTTTATACAGCTCTAACCTGCAGTTACCTCTCCTGGAACCAGGATAATTTTTTCTTTCCCCTGAAAACCACTGCCTGCTGTTTCTGCCACGGGGCAGTGGGTGAGAAGCAGTGTCCAGCTTGCCTGGTGTGTTCAAGGCTGCTCCTTTCCAGTGATGTTTGTGCTCCTTGACATAGCAGAGAGATGCTATTTAGGAAGCAAAGGCCACAGTTCGCCGCTTGCTTGGAAACAGCCACAGCAATGCAGTTGTTAAATTTGTCTGCTGCTTTTACATGCTCCCTTGGGTGCCCTCCAGCTCGCCAGAGCACAAAGCAGCATCATGGGAAGGAGAAGGGTCTCTCTGCTGGTCCTACAGCTCCTCTGGATCCCCAGCCACTGGAAACCCCTGGCGGAGTCAACATTAACTCGAATTTCTTTGCCCCTTTTCTTGTTCGTCATCTTCATCAACCAGCATTTTGACAAGCCCTGCTTTCAGATCTAATGCTCTTTTGAGCTCCTTTGCAGCCCCCTTTATTCTGGGCCACTTCCAGTGCTTATTCGACTCCTGTGATATTTTATTTGCAACAAGTCCTGCCCCATTTGGTGAAGCACAAATTGTGAACCCAAGCACTTACTGCCATGCCCGGGGCTTTAACTGGGCTCTTTCTCCCTCTTTTCAGAAAATTTCACGAGGGATATATAGGAGAAGTTAAATATTTTTTGAACGTGTAAGCTGGTATAAGGCTTTGGGGCGTTGTTTTCTCCCCACAGCCTGAAGGACGAGCAGCCGGTGCAGTGCGGGCAGTACGACGGGCTGGTGGAGCTGGCCACCATCTGCGCCCTCTGCAACGACTCCTCGCTGGACTACAACGAGGTGTGGGGGGGGCAGAGGGGCCGGGGCGGTGCAGGGGACCGGCGATGCTCTTCCCTGTGCTTTGGGGCAACGCTAGTGGATGTTTGTCCCTTGGGATCCCCTTCCCTTGCTTCAGCTCATCCTAGGGTGATGCTCTGGGAGCCCTGGGGTGGTGCAGTGGGTGACAGCATCCTTGCTTGGAGCAGCAGGTAGAGGACGTGCTCTAAAGCTTAAGCTCCTCTCTTTTTCTGCCCTTTAGTCCAAAAAAGTCTACGAGAAGGTGGGGGAAGCCACTGAAACAGCCCTGACGTGCCTGGTGGAGAAGATGAACGTCTTCAACACCGACACCAGCAAACTGTCCAAGGTGGAGCGAGCCAACGCCTGCAATTCGGTGAGAGGGGGGAGAGGCCCCTGTGAGCTCTGGTGCCAGGGGATGGGAGGGAGAGGAGGGCTTTGGGATGACTGTTATTTGAGCAATAACCACTTGCAATGATCTAAGGGACTGATCTGCAACAAGGATGCAATTTCCTGGCTTGCAGCGGGCTGAGCTGGTTTTGGAGCAGATAGTGAAGTGGCCAGGGGGAGGCTGACCCTGGCACCGTGGGGACTGACCTGGGTCCATATGGAGCTTTGGAGCAGGCCATCCCCAAGGCTCAAACTCAGCCCAGGCCCTGCTCAGCTGGGAGAGAGCCCCTCAGGGATGGCCAGAACTCTGGCTGCAGACGAGGAGGTTTGGAGTTTTGTGGCTCTGCTGCAAATCTTCAGGTGCCTGGTTTGCGGTGAGCAGCCGTCCTCCATAGAGTGAGCCGAACTGCATTCACCAGAGCCAAGCCTGCCTGAACGAGGCTTGCTCGTTGGAAACATCTATTTTTGATGTGAAAATATCCTGTGATGGCTGTTTCCCTACTCCATCTTTCCAGTGTCTTTCTGTCCTTCTGGTGAAAATACACTTAATTTCATGTCTGGATTTATTCAGCTTTGGTATCATGCTGTTAGATAGATCATAGAATGGTTTGGGTTGGAAGGGACCTTAAAGATCATCCAGTTCCACCCCCCCCCTGCCGTGGCAGGGACACCTTCCACTAGACCAGGTTGCTCTAAGCCCCATCCAACCTGGCCTTGAATGCTTCCAAGGAGGGGCATCCACAGCTTCTCTGGGCAACCTGTTCCAGTCTTTGCTTGCTCAGAGGAAGGGCTCTCTGTTCTGGCATTTCTTCCCCAGATAGGTCCGAGCAGGTCATAAAAAAATCCCCTGACTCCTTTCTGATAAGGGAGATGGAATTTCCCAGCCGTACATCAGTCCGGCAGCTGCTTCATTACATGTGCCCATCACTGCCCTTCCACTCAGACGCCAGGCTGGGTTTGGTCACTTCTCTCCTTACTCTTGTGCTTGGGCAGGGACAAAAAAAACCTTTCTTGGAGATTCAGGGCTTCTTGATTTTGCTCCCAGTGGCTCTGTGCTTTGAAATCTCTGATGGGATTTCAGGGTTTCCACAGCAGCTGGCTGCTCCCAGGTGTCCTTGTCCTTGCTGCTGCACTGAGCGTGCAGTGCTCAGCGGGGACAGCACTGCTTTTGTGGGCACAAAGCTTCCCACCTACGTGTAGTCGCTGCATTCGTACCCTGTGCTGGGTTTGGCCTTTGAAAGCCGCTTGGCGTTTGCCTGGCATATCCACAGAAGTGCCTGCATTTTGCACGGACAAATCCCCTTTGCACATCTCTCCAGCTCCCATTTGCAGCTTTGTTGCAGGAGGAGCATCGTTTTAACTGTGAACTTGCAAGGTTTTACCCCAAAAGGAGTTTTCTTTTCCTTTGCCCCCTTCACTGATTTATTTAGATTTAAATTGCTGTAAAAGTCCGGTGCAAAAAGCTGCTTGTGTCCCCATCACAAGCAACGCCCCCCTGGCAACAAAAAATAACAGTCCTATGAGCAGTTGAGCCATGCAGAGCAAGGCTGGCATCAACGTCCCCACTGCCCTTTACAGAAAATACTTTGGATTTGCCCCAGATGCCCTGCTCATTAAATGGCTTTTTGGGGACAAGACGTGTCCTCCCAGGAGCCTGGCTCAGCTGCCGTGATGTCTGTGTGGGTGCGTGGGCAGGGGATTGCTCTGAGGAGGACTGGCTGCTGTCTTGCTGGGTGTCTGGCTCCTGAAGTAATTAACTAGTGGCAGTGGTAGAGCCTGGTTTGTGGTGGGGTTTTGGGGGGTGTTGGGGTGCAGGACCCTGTCTGCAGGCACTGCCTGTGCCCACGGGTCCATGGGCTGGGGCTGCCCTTGCTCTGTCCTCACCCTGCAAACCTGCAGGTAACATCTGAGTGAGTGATTGCTCCTGCTTAGCTGGCAGTCCTCAGGGTAATTAGCATGTTCTGAAATAAGCCTAATTAGAGTCTCAGCTGCAGAGCTGGTTAAATGATGGGAACCAATCCAGTCTCCGGTGATGTTGGTGCTCCCACTCCTGCTGACCCCTGTGGGTGCAGAGTCAGGGCAAACCCCTCAGCTGTAACGAGTGGGATGCTGTTCCCCTTCCTGCAGCTCAGCCGGAGCCCAATGCAGGGGAAAGTCTCTCCCTTCTCTCTGGCAAACAGGGCTTTATCTTTGGCTACAGGAGCTATTTGGCATCCCACGTGGGGGTCAATAAACTGAGGGTCTGGTACACGCTGGCATGTGGTGTGGGCTGGGCGGCAATGGTGTAGTCGGCCGGGTTAATATTGTCCCAAAAAATTGCGTAAGGAAAGCTCCTTCTGCTTTTTGCACTGTCCCATCCCTGCTGGCTCCTGTGGTGGCCTTTCTCCTGCCGTCACTGGTGCGGTGCCGGCTTGGCAGGGGGGTGAGTCAAGGCAGAGGG